GCTAAAGACTCTGCAGAGAAAAATCTATATTATCATAGGGAGTACTTAAATCACCGTGAACAGACCATTAGTAGAAACATGGACATTAAAAATGCTGCTGATGGGAAGCCCCAGGGGCTTAGCAGTTTACTGCCACCTTCAGCCCAGAGTGTGATCCTAGAGACCCGGGATCGGGTCCCAAGTGAGGCTCCCTGCATGGAGCCTGCCTCTCCCTCTGCCCCTGTCTCTACCTCTCTCTCTCTCTCTCTCTTTCTCTCTCTCTTTGTGTGTCTCTAATAAATAAATTAAAAATCTTATAAATAAATAAATAAATAAATAAATAAATAAATAAATAAATAAATAAAATGCTGCTGGTTGGGGCACCTGGGGAGCTCAGCAGTTTAGTGTCTGCCTTCAGCTCAGGGCCGAAGAACATACATTTGCCCCAAATGTATGATACTCAGAGTCACAGTCATACCTGATTTAGATTATTTAGATAATCAAATTTGGAATTTTTCAGATGATGAGACTGGATAAGATTTTGGCCTTTGAGCTGATGCCGTAATGGGTTGAGACTTTGGGAGAATATTGAGACAACGTAAATGTATCTTGCGTGTGGGACAGACATGAATCTTGGGGGGGGGTTGTTTTGTTTTTAAAGATTTCTTTATTTATTCATGAGAGACACAGGGAGGCAGAGACATAGAAAGAGGGAAAAGCAGGCTCCCAATGAGTCCTACACTGGGCTCCCCACAGGGAGCCTGCTTCTCCCTCTGCCTGTGTCTCTGCCTCTCTCTCTGTGTCTCTTATAAATAAATAAATAAAATTTCTTTTTAAAACATGCTGCTGGTAAGGGCTAAAAAAGGAAATGGAAATCAGAAGACACAGGGTCGTTGTTACGTGGAAGCAGAAAGCTTAGCTGACTTGTGTCCTAGAGTAATACGGAAAGCAAAACTTGTAACAGACGAACTTGGACATTTAGCTGAAGAGATTTCCAAGCCCAAGTGTTGAAGGCACAGTCCGTTTCTCCTTGCTGCTTAGAACAAAAGATGAGAGGAAAGAGAGAGATGGTTGGGAAGATGAGCTGACAAGCAAAGAAACTAGGCCCTGAGGAATGGAAGAAGTCTCAGCCTACTGGGACCGCAAAAGACAAAAACATTAGGAGACTCTCTGTCAGGAAATTCTGCTCTGGGGTGAAAACCACAGGTGTAGCTGAACAACTTTTTGCTAGTAGCTCTGAAGGATCAAAAGTTCAATAGATTCAATCACACAGAGGGATCTTTGAGGAGATCAGGTATGTGACTCATGGATGCCACCGGCCATGTCCGCGAGGTGAGGCACCGAGACAGGGCTATCTCAGGAAGATCGGTGGTGGAGCCTCTTGTCCGATGGACAGGAGACCCTAAAGGTTCCTGAAAATGTTATATGAGCAGAAACACTGCCAACTTGGACTGAAAGAGGATGAAATGAGGAAAAATGACAGACTTTCAAAACTCCACAGGTAGCAACAGGCTGGTAAAACTACTTGACCGCAAACACACACTACTCTGCCAGAAAAAGGAAGAATTACTCAAAGGTATGGGTCGTGGGCCCAGAAGGCAGAGCCAAGGACCACAGGGCACTTTTCCCAGACCCTGAAACTCAGTGAGTTTGCCCTGCTGGATTTCAAAGTTTCCCGGGATTGGCAGCCCCTTTCTTCTTCCTATTTCCTTTCTATTAACAGGACTGTCAATCACAGGCATCCTACACCTGCCTCTCCATTGTATTTGGGAAGCAGATGACCTGTTTCCTACTTGCCACAGATCCATAGATGGAGAGTTTTGCCCTAAATGTATGATACTCAGAGTCACAGTCATACCTGATTTAGATTATTTAGATAATCAAATTTGGAATTTTTCAGATGATGAGACTGGATAAGATTTTGGCCTTTGAGCTGATGCCGTAATGGGTTGAGACTTTGGGAGAATATTGAGACAACGTAAATGTATCTTGCGTGTGGAACAGACATGAATCTTGGGGGGGTTTTTTGTTTTGTTTTTAAAGATTTATTTATTTACTTACTTACTTATTTATTTATTTATTTATTTATTTATTTATTCATTCATGAGAGACACAGAGAGGCAGAGACATGGAAAGAGGGAAAAGCAGGCTCCCCACAGGGAGCCCGATGCGGGACTTGATCCCCTGACCGGGGATCATGCCCTGAGCCCAAGGCAGACACCCAACCACTGAGCCACCCAGGCATCCCTAGACATGAATCTTTGGCAACTAAAAGGTGTGGTAAAAAAAAAAATTAATAAATAAATAAAATAAAATAAAATAAAAGGTGTGTGGTATGGTAAGCAAAGTAAAGGCTCCCCAAAGATGTCCGTGTCCTAATTGCCAGAACTTGTAAATATGTTACCTTACATGGCAAAAGGGATTTTAGCATGTGATTAAATTACAGATCTTGAGGTGGAAGGATTATGCTGGATTACCCGGGTAGGCCCAATGTAATCACAAGGGTTCTTAAGGGAAAGTAAAGTCCTCCTCGGTCAACCTCCCAAAATTAAGTTACTCTTACCATTAAAGAAGCTGAAAATCACTCCCCATGGCTGGAGCCTGCTAGACAGCCCAGAGGTAGTTGCCAAAGCAAAGAACACACAAACCAACAGAGTTCTGCCAAAGGGACACCTGGGTGGCTCAGCAGTGGAGGGTCTCCCTTCAGCTCGGGTATGATATGGGTCCAGGGATCGAGTCCCACATCGGGCTCCCCACAGGGAGCCTGCTTCTCCCTCTGCCTGTGTCTCTGCCTCTCCTCTCTGTGTCTCTCATGATAAATAAATAAAATCTTAAAAAAAAAAAAAAGAAGTCTTACCAAAGAAGCTCACGCTCGTGGATTAATAAGTGACTGAATAGTGAGTAAAGCAGGCAACAAGCCTTTCATGGAGCACATCAGACAGAGGAGATTTTAATTCAATTCAACATGTGTGTTTGTCACCTACTACATGCCATGCATGGTACTTGGTTCTAGGGATGTAGGGATGTATCTAAACAGAGATGACTTCCGCCCTCATGAAGCATGACCTCGCAACAGGAACTGAGCAGACCTCGTACAAAGCAAAAAAGAAAGAAAGAAAGAAAGAAAGAAAGAAAGAAAGAAAGAAAGAAAGAAAGAAAGAAAGAAAGGGCAATTCCATCTGGATTCTCTTAACCCTTCCCAGAGCTTAGGAACCTCACCAATGCCTTAGTAAGAGTAAATGGAAATTAACACATCCATGCTGTGGTTAGATATCATCATATAATACCTGTAGATTTATTCTATACCATTAACAAGGCCTAAGATCTATCTCTAGTAAATATGTGAATCTCATCTCTTAATATTGGTCCAGCCATTCTAAAATAATCCTTTTGCTGTCTTCACAGAAGGCTGAGTTAAAAGAACGCTGCCAGAAGTTTCCACAGAAGAGTACCCAAACTGCCCGGTGGTCATACCTCATCAGGACACTCCCCTGCAGCAACCTCTGCCAAGGCCCCTGCTGCACTGAGAATGAAGTATGAGACCACTAACCCGGGGCTACAAATGGGGATAAGAGTTAAATTCGTTACCTAGCATACATGGCCTCCCACCTATGGGAATGGAGACTGGCCATACATCATCAGTGACTCTAAACCCCTGATATCAGCTAGGTATCAGCTCCGCCTACGGGGCCCAATGCAACCCAGCCCCTGCCTGCCTCTCCAGCCCCTCACCACCCTTTCGCTGCACCAGACACCTTTCTATTGGCTTCTGCCTTAAGACCTTCATTCATAGTTTCTTCCTTGCCCAGAGTGTTCAGAACTCCCACCCTCCCCTACACCAGGCTTTCTATTCATTTTTCAAGTCTTGGCTGACACATCAATTTTCAGGGTAACCTTTACCTGACGCTCCACCCCGGTGAAATCAGATCGCCCTCTACTACTCTTTATGGCAGCCCACACATCCCCTTCATAGTAAGGACAGCAATCGTGACCCAATCATTCCTTGTGTAATGACTTTCTCTCATCATAGTTTAGAACGGGCTGCACCTATCTTGTTTACTCTTACAGGGAATCCTACTGTGAGCATGTTGCGTGGTACACAGCACAAGTCCCATATTCACAGCTAGTACTTAGTGAGGATCTACTTCATGTATCAGACACGGTTTTAACCACTTCACTGGATTAACTCCTCTAATCCCTATAACGGCCCCATGAAGCAGGTACTAGTATTCTAGATGAGGACACAGGCACAGTTAGGCTAAGGGACTGCCCAAAGTCTCAAAGTCAGTAAGTGGTAGTGTTGGAATTTGACCTCAGGCAGCTGAGCTTTTAAGAAGCACGCTACAGGGGATCCCTGAGTGGCTCAGCAGCTTAGCGCCTGCCTTCAGCCCAGGGTATGATCCCGGAGTCCCGGGATCGAGTCCCACATCGGGCTCCCTGCATGGAGTGTGCTTCTTCCTCTGCCTGTGTCTCTGTCTCTTTGTGTGTGTGTGTCCCTCATGAATAAATAAATAAAATCTTTAAAAAAAAAAACACACTACACTCCCTTGATTATTTGAGAACCAAGTAAGCTACATCCCTCGGAGAATGCAGCCACAAAACACCCTCTGTGCTCATGTTAAATAGGAGAGAAAAATATATGAAAAAGAATAGGTGTAGCTATAGTGCAGGTAAAGATATAGATAATAGTTGAAGACATGTCCTATAAAAATAATATGGCTGGCCAATAGCTTCCAAGAGCTTTGCAACTTCACTGAACTTTAGATCCCCACCAAAACACCCAAGGAAACATTTCATCGCCAAACCAAATATTTCACAACCATGCCTCTGGTGCCCCCCTCCCACCCTCAGAACACCCCTCGATTATCTGAACACTCTTGATATTTCTGAACGTACCTTATGACAGTGACACAAGAGAAATAATGGAGACGATCCTCGGACAAACACACACCACATGAACACTCCCCAGACAGATCCTCCTCCCCAAGTTGCGCCTCCATGCAAAGGAGGAAGTGCCTTACCTTGAAACACGTATGCTTTGCTGGCATTGTGCAGTCCAGACACTTGAGTGACTCCAAGGGAGATGTTCACGAGGTCGAGCTCGGTGATAATATCCATCTGCAGGTCAGGGTCCGTCCCAAAGCCCACCACTGGAAAGAAACAAACAGCTGTCTTGGCTTCAAACACAGACTGCAAGCAGCAATACCAAACAGAAATTATTAAGGCCAGGAGTAGCAGGGAATGCAAGGAAGCCAGTAATGAGTCCGTGGAGATGCTACCGTCTGCAGTGGAAACGGAGAACAACTCTTTGCTCCATGGCCCCGGTGATATTGTAGGTTCTCTGTCCCCTCCCTCACCCTCACTCCCCACTCATTATGGATTGATGATCCCTTATCCAAAACCCTCAAGGCCAAACGTGTTGCAGATTCAGAACGTATCACATGTTGGAGAGGTAATATGGTAATATGCCCTCTACATTACATTTTAGGTAACACCCTAAACGAAGTCTGAATCAGTACTCCACAATCAAATACAGTATTTCTGATGCAAGAAGGGTGATGCTGTCCTCTAGCTGGCTAAACAAAGACTACACACAGCCTCGGGTCAGTTGAGGTTAAGTTTCACCAGGAAATGAGTCCAACTCAGGGTAGCTTTTGTCATCACTGTGAGTTATGAAGAAACTTTGGGCTTCTGAGCTTTTTCAGATCTGGGGACAGTGGATCAGGACAGTGGCCCGGATCCCACCTCTTCCACCTGACGCAGTCGCAAAACCTGACACCACCATCACCAGTAAGCACCTCTTCATCAGACTCAACCACTGTGATACAGCGGAGGGCAACCCAGAGGGCTCCTGTCCCTGCTGGAGAAGGGTGGCCGAGGGCTAGCCAAGTAAAGGGAAATGACAGATGTATATTCCATCCAAGGGGATTCCTGAACAGAAAGTTAAATTCCCTGACAACTAGGCTGGAGAGCCTGGGCTTAGATGGCCCTATGTAAGAAAAGCAAATGCCTAAGGCTGTCTGTCCCCCAGGGGACAATCTGTGCAGTGACACACTCGTGATTGCAAAGGGACTCCCACCGATATGTACTAATAAGGCTAGAGATCACCGTAAGGGACAGTGGGTAAGCCATTCATAAAGGCAGCTGCCATCCACACCGAACATCTCAGTAGCGCGATTCTGATTGCACAGTCAGAAATGTTTTAATCAGCAACAGCTGTCAACCTCTGGCGGATGGTAATGCAGTCGCTGAGGCACGATCTGGAAACCCAACTTGTCCCAGAGACACTGAGTGAACGTTCATCAGAGCATCGTGAGCCATTACAACCTCACCTGTCCTCCCACCTTCCCACGTTACCCCACAGGTGTGGGTAATCTCCCCTCTCCCTACTCTTTTGCTGTGAGAAAAACTGGAGCTGCTATAGCAACAGAAGTTGGGGCCAGGACGGCTCCTTGGAGCTGTCACCTGTCATCACCAAGGCAAAGGGTTAAGCTGAAGGCGCAGTGCAAGAGTTGCATTCTTGGTTTCTGTCAGGGTTTCTCCTTGTCTTCTGACCTAAAGGCTCCGTTCCCCCCTTCCCAATGCGGCCAGCTATGAGACCAGTTTACTCAAGGACAAGTCTTCCTTCCATTCGTTCTGCATTCATCCATTCCCGCGGTACCTTTTCAACAGGTATTACTGAGTGTTTACAGTGTAACACACATTGCTGGCCCTGGAGATGTCCTCGTAGAGCATGCATCATGCCTGGGGTACAGTGAAGAGAAGGTAAAAAAAATAAATAAGTAGATAAGAGAATTTGAGATGGCAACAAATGCTATGCAGAAAGTAAAACAGAGTAATGGAATACAGAGCAACGTGGGTGGGGCTTTAGAAAGGACAGTCTGGAAAGGTCCCTTTGAACTGAAAGCTGAATGCCTGCAGGGGCTGGCAGTGGCAAGATGGGGGGGGGGGCAGCTTTCCCAGGATATAGGATAGCACACTGTAAGCCAGGAACAGACTCGGCATGTTCAGCATGTCCAGGGAACAGAGAAAAGACTAGTGTGGCTGGCGCAGAATGGGCCGGAGCGAGGGCTAGAAAATGAGGCCGTAGAGGAGACCCTGCCTTTTGAACCACAGCGAGGAGATGGGTATTATTCTAATTGCAATAGGAAATCGCTGGAGGGCTTCAGGTGTGTGCTGAAGAGGAAGGGGAGGAGGCCATGCCCCTACGTTACCTGGTGATCTCACTGCTCATCCCTCACACACGCTCCATTCACAAAGGCCTGATGGAACACCTACTCTGTGCAAGGAAGGACTGAGCCAGTGGCTGTTTATCAGTCTGAGGCAGGGCACCAGAAGCCTCTGGCTGAGACTGGTGATGTTTTTCTCCGAGTGAGCTCAGATATCAGCAGTTCTGTGATCACCTTGAAAAGGCAGGAAAAGAACTAATATTTCAGTTTGATCTACAGTGTTGTACACCTATATGGCAGAAATTAAATCATGAGTGATCTCAGAGGACCTCCGGGCTGGTCTTTCTCTGGCTAGGAATTCGGAAAGTGACCTGGGGAGCGTGCCCTTAGCTGGACACAAGAAGAGAGTGTGCCTGTAGCCCCAGTGCCTCGCCCAGGGGCTGACATCCCACACACCCTGAATTTAGGACCTAAGTTAATTCACTGCTGAGTGAGTGCACAATGGCACAAGGACCTCCAAGCGACACGCACATCTAGGGATACCGCAAGATGACAGGATGGCATTCGGGCCAAGGAAACGTTCTTTAAAAACTGTGGTTGAGGGATCTCTGGGTGGCACAGCGGTTTGGCACCTGCCTTTGGCCCAGGGCGCAATCCTGGAGACCCGGGATCGAATCCCACATCGGGCTCCCGGTGCATGGAGCCTGCTTCTCCCTCTGCCTGTGTCTCTGCCTCTCTCTCTGTGTGTGACTATCATAAATAAATAAATAAATAAATAAATAAATAAATAAATAAATAAATAAATAAATAAAAACTGTGGTTGACTGAATTATTGGATTCAAATCTTTACCCCTCCCAGATCCACACATACCCTTTGCCGCATGGCTTTGCAGTTCCTTTCGCTAGAGTGAAAGCAAACCTCTGAATCCTTTGACTTTGAGTCTCACCCTGTAACTTCTTTGGGTCCCTGGGATGCTTCGGATGTTAGCAATGATACACAAGCCGAGGCCTGAACATGCTCGTGAGGTAGGGCTTGTTCTCTTGTACCTCTGCATCATGATGAAAAGAACACGGCCCTACTGGTCCACTGGGTCCAAGGAGACTCAGACACATGGAGCAGACACTCTGTTTGAGTTAGGCAAACAGCCAACATGCCCAGCCAAACCTGACCTAGATGAGCCGAGAACAGGACAACCTATAGACACGTGAACCAAACTTAACGTGTTAAGCTACTGAGTTCTGGATGGTTTATTATGCAACATTATCGTGGCAGTGGTTGACCAGAGGGGGGACTCGAGACCCACTATAATGGCCATCCTTAAAACGCTCCCAGACTAGGAGCCCCTCCACTAGACAAGCCTAAAAGGCACCCAGGCAGATTCTGTAGAACTAGCAGGACACCCCACTGGTACCCTTGGATCCCCGTCCCCAAATGAGAACACAGCACACTCAATCCACAAAGGGTTGTGGAAACGACACTAAACCAAGAGGCAGTTTCAGTCCTGTCTCTTCCCCTACTAACTCTTGGAAAAATAACCCCACTTCTCTGAGCTTCAGCTCCCTCATCTGTAAAATGAAGATGATCATGCCCACCCCCCAGCCTCATAAGGTGTTGGTGATAACTGTGTGAACACTCCCAGCACACATGTGGTACCCAGCTGGGCTCTGCAGCATCTGTCTTTCATAAGACGGCTCCCGGGTCCTTAACTCCACTGCAACTGTACAAATGTTCGGATGTCCCCCTTCCTCCCAAACCCTCCACATGCCCCAATGACCTAGAAGGGCTTCTCACTCTGGCCATGCTTTGGGAAATCTAAATATTAAGTCTACGCTCCTTCCTCCTCCTAACAGCCCACAAGTGAGGGGATTCCCTGGTTTTAAGGTCACTGTATTGCTCTTGTCATGAAAACATCTCATAAAAACAGAACAAGGGAAATCAATTAGGCTTCCAGATACGCTTTTCCTCTCTCCCTTTAATTGGTCTCCTTTCAGGATGGAAATGCCGAGCGCCAATAGCAGGATGTGTAAAAGATAGCACTTTACACACCACCTAGGGAATCAGGAAATCTATTAATAAGGTAGCATTTCATAGCCTCTCCTGAACCTCATGTACTATGAGAGCATTGGTTCCATAAAAATAATTTTTTTAATGCTTCTGCTTCTTGTCCAAGCATGGAGCTCCTGCCCTTTCCAAGGAAACTCTATTAAAGTTCTCTACTTTGGCCACAACTGCTCTACAAAGGGCTGGAGCTGGGAATTGGAATTAAGCAGGATAAAAAGCTTCTGGGGACGAAACATCCTTTCAAAACCTGGAAGGCAGCGTGTCACCACCATGAGAGAGGTACTTGAGGCCTGGTTCTGGGATTCCAAACCTCCACCCTAATCTCCCAGGACACCTGCTCCTGCCAGCCACCCCCACAGTCCTGCCTGGGAAGTGCTCAGGCCCAAAGACCATTCAGTCCACCTTCAGGGTCCGGAGCGTGTAAGCTCCCAAGCAAATCCTCCTGGGCCTGGCTCACTTCAAAAATCTAATCCAGCTCACTGTCCGTGATGGCAGCTGTTTTCCCCTGGTCAACACAGAGGAATCGGACGCCGAGGAGATGCTCCAAGACCTCATATAACAGCAGGATGTCACAACCAGTTGATCAGATTCGGACCCCTGGACTCCTGCAAAGATCCCCAAAAACAATACCCTTGAAGACTACGTTCCATGCCTGTTCAAGTTAGCCACACGTTGCATATAATCACTGCAGGCTGGGGGCTCTGTTCACAGCTCTATTACGTCAGAGTTCATGAATAGCCTAGAAGTGCTTCGAGAAGAAAAGCTCTCCTTTCCAGCAGGTGGCAGCAAAAGGCAGCAAAAGGGGCCCCAGGGGCTCCCCACACCCCAAACCCGACCCCAACCACCTCCACCACCACCACCACCACCACGCTGGCCCTGGTGACCAAAACCAACGGAAAAGGGAATTTTGTGTTATGCACACAGCCAAGCCATCGGAGAAAACTCGCGGACGTAATACGCTATCCCCGCTAATACTGAAGCCTTCTACATTTTCCCCGGTAGGGATGCACCTGAAAATCCCAGAAATCATTTTTCACCCAGAAATAACAAGCACTAGAGAACAGCACCTCCTATCTTGATTCCATTTTACCCTCTAAAACAAGTTCCCCGAACAATGAGCAATTTAAGCAGCTTCCTGTGACACCTATCATTAGATCTTTTCATATGTAACTGCTACTGCACTGCAGCGCCGCTTTAATTAAGCTGTGCCTGATATCATCTATTCGTTTCCATTAAAAGGCGGCGATATCTGAGCAGCTCGCTAAGTGAACCACATGTTTACTTCATTGTGGACTGTTAACAGCCCAGACAACAACTGTCCCACTTGACAAATAAACTTTCCAAGCGGCTGTTTGGATCCTGATAAACTAATCAGGAGCCAGCCTCTGCCACCAAAGAGGATGGATGTTTGATTCAGGGATGATGACGCTTCCTGGGCCCATCAAAGCGGCTGCCCCCAGAAAACTGCTGATCACACCCCTTCGAGAGACAAGAAATTTTAAGTGAAGGACTGGAGATACAATTCCAACCCCCCTCCCGTCATCCTGGTTCTTCTGAGAATTTCTGTAGAAGAAATGTGTGTGGCCTCTGGTGTGCAAGAAGTGCCAAGTGGCACGGAAAACCTAAGCTTCCTCACAACTGCCACAACCAGTAGGGCAGACTTGACAATGCCCCCCCCCCAGCCTGTGCACAGGCTGTGCCCTCCCCCTGGAATGCTCCCCTGGAATGCTTTCCCCACTTTGCCCACCTGGAAAACTCCCTGTAAAGCCTTCGAAACACCACTCTCAAACGTCACCTCCCAATTCAAAAGCCCTCCCTGACCAACCTCCCCTCCCTCAAATTCCTTCCTACCATTTCTCTTCTGTATGGCTTTCATTGAAACTTCTTATACTCCCTCCTCTCCTACACCATACCCCCCCCCCAGGCTGTAAGGAGACAAAACGTTTTCCAGTTTCTACCTAGGTTCTCAGCTAAGCTTTAAGTTCCTGGAAGTCGAGGACCAAGTCCTTTCCTCAGGGCATAAGCAATCCCAGGACCCAGCAAGGCGATTGGCAGTTTGTTGAATGAGTGAAGAAATGCATGAATAAATCGTCCCCATAACAGAATTTTCACAATGGTTAAGGGGGTTGGCATGGGGAAGCGGAAAAGATTGTGTCCACGAGCAACGCACCCTGGAGACCCAGTCCATTCCGGATGGGGGCACTTTGCGCCCACTTTGCAAAGAACTAATGAGCACAGAGGATCAGGGCACTCCGGTCGGAAGGATGTGCACCTGAGGGTGTGCAATGGCCAATAAGCCGCCCCCTCCCCGGTCCAGTTTCTCTCTCTCCCGTTCCTCCGTTGAGATGCCCACCAGCACCTGCTTGTCGCGCACGGGACTGGCACCCCGCTTCTGCACCAGCCTCGCCCGACCTGATCCTCTGGGGGCGCATTTCTTCCCCTGCGCTCCTGGTTTCCAAAGCCCAGGACCCAAGGAGCAGCTGTCCTAGGCTGGACGGAGCGTCTCCGCAGCCTCGGGAAGCCCGGGGCGGGGGGGGGGGGGGTGGATTCCTTTTGTCCCTGGAGAAGCCCACACCCGTCCCTCTTCCATTAAGCAAAGGGACAGCCGCTACCCTCTCAGAGCCGGGTAAATGGAAAAGACCAGCAGGAACCTCGGAGACACCCAACTTCGGGTCCTCGGGCGGCCGCCGGCCTAAGAGGGGCCCCTGGGGCGCAGGCGGAGGGAACTTTCGGAGATCAAGGCGCGGCACCCTCCCCAGCCCTCTCCCGAGCTCGCCGCCTGGCCTGGGAAGGAGCCTCTGCCTCCTGAGAGGGGAAATGCGGGGGGCAAAAGAGGGAAGGAGAAAGGGAGGGGTGACCTCCCGCCGGTCCCGGGGTGCAAAGTCGGCAGCGCGTCCTAGGGCGGGCTGGCCCGGGAATCAGGATCCGGGGGGCTGTACCTTCGCCCTGCCGTGCTCCCCTCCCCACCTCTACTGCTGGACCCGCGGAGGAGACGACCGGGAACTGGTCTCCGAACCCCAAGACTCGTGGGGTCTGCGGGCGGGCGAGGGGGAGCGGAGGGCAGGGCGTGCTCAGCTCGGCGTCCTCACTCCTGCGCCTCCCGAGGCGGGGCCGAGCCGGGACTTCGCGAATTACCAGTTACCCGGTGCCCCCGCCACGACCGCCGCCCGCGGTTACAGCGGGAGAGACCTGGCTGCGAGCTTCCGCAGACGCCCCGGATCCGCTCCGCGCCGACTCCCCGATTATTGTTCCCTCGGCCCTTGCGGACGCGGTGCAGGGGAGAGGACGCGCCGGAGTTCCCCCGGGAAGGGCGGCGAGGGGACCGGGACACCACGGATCCCGCGGGGACCCGCAGCCCTGCCCGCGCCCCGCAGCCCTGCCCCCGCACCCCGCGCCCTGCCCCACAGCCCTGCCCCACAGCCCTGCCCGCGCCCCGCAGCCCTGCCCGCGCCCCGCGCCCTGCCCCACAGCCCTGCCCCACAGCCCTGCCCGCACCCCGCAGCCCTGCCCGCGCCCCGCGCCCTGCCCCACAGCCCTGCCGGCACCCCGCGCCCCGCAGCCCTGCCCCGCATCCTGCGCCCTTACCCTGCGCCCTGCCCCGCAGCCCTGCCCCGCAGCCCTGCCCGCACCCCTGCCCCGTAGCCCTGCCCCGCAGCCCTGCCCCGCATCCTGCGCCCTTACCCTGCGCCCTGCCCCGCAGCCCTGCCCGCACCCCTGCCCCGTAGCCCTGCCCCGTAGCCCTGCCCCGCAGCCCTGCCCCGCACCCTGCGCCCTGCCCCACAGCCCTGCCCGCAGCCCGCGCCCCGCAGCCCTGCCCCGCATCCTGCGCCCCTACCCTGCGCCCTGCCCCGCAGCCCTGCCCGCGCCCTGCCCGCACCCCTGCCCCGTAGCCCTGCCCCGTAGCCCTGCCCCGCACCCTGCGCCTCACCCTGCGCCCTGCCCCGCAGCCCTGCCCGCGCCCTGCCTGCACCCCGCAGCCCTCGCTCCACCGCCCTGCCCCGCGCCCTCGCCCCGCGCTGCCCCGCGCCCTGCCCTCCAGCCGCAAGCGCCCGGTCTGCGGTGCGACTCCCGCGGCCGCCGCCTCCCCGCCGCGCCCCGCGCCGGCACCGCGGCTGCAGCACACCCCGCAAGTTGCGGGGTGCGGGGCTCGCGCCCCCGGGCCGCCGCGGCTCCCCCCCCCCCCCCCCCCCCGGGAGCTGGTTGCCGGCAGCGGCAGGGAGGGAGACCCGCTCGGCCGCGCCCCTCACTCCCGCGTCGGCGGGGCCGCGTCTGCGAGGCAGGGGGGCTCCCCGGGGCACCCGCAGCCCGGACCCCCCCCGCCCCCGCCCCCAGGGCCCGCCGCCCTGCGCCGCCCTTGCCCGCCCCGCGCTCACCTGTCCGGGCGGCGCACACGCAGAACCACACGACTAGGAGCACGTCCCCCGGCATCGCTCCGCGGGTCCGCGCCAACCGGGGCGCGCGGGCCGGGAGGACACGAGCCGCCAAACTTGCCGGCGGGCGGCGGGGGAGGCGCGAGGCGGGAGGCGCGAGGCGGGAGGCGGGAGGCGGGAGGCGGCGCGGGCGCTGCGCTCGGGGATCGCGCCCCGCTCGGCCCGGCCGCCCCGCCCCCAGCCCCGCCCCGCCCCGCCCCGCCCCCGGCCCGGCCCTGCCCCCCTGCGGCTGCGGCTGCGCCCGCCTTGGAGCCGCGGGGGGGGGCCCGGGCAGGTGCGCGCCGCGCGGGGGTCGCGCCCTCCGGCTGGGGCCGCGGGAGCAGGAGCCCCCCCACCCCGGAGCCCGAGTCCCGGGACGCGCGGCCCCGAGGGAGACCCCGGCGACGCCAGGCGCCCCCGCCGCCCCCCGGAAAACAATCACTCGGGGTTTGCTGGGGGGCGGGGGCCGGGGGGTGGCGCCCCCAGCTGCGCCCCGTGCCCCCCGCCTCGGGCGGCCCCTCCCCGGGCACCCGCGGGGAGTCTGTCTGCAGACCTTCCGGTTCTGCAGGGCAAATGCTGCCACATAGGGGAAATTCCTAACCATTTTCTCAGTGGCTTGATGGTGGTGCCGAAAGCCCTACTCTCCTCCCCCGTAGTTCCTCTGGGACCCTCGTCCCCCACCCCCACCCCCACACTGTTCCCCGGGGAGAAAAGTTAGACTTTGTTGTGGGCAAGAGGAGAGAAGTCCTCTTCCTACTCTGAGACCCTCTTCCGGACCCCCCCCCCCCCCCCCGGGGCTTCCCTATAAAGATGTCCCGGGTTCTGTCGCACTTCCATCCAGGACTGTTACTTGTAACTGGGATGCAGAGTCGTGGAATCAGAGATGCTAGAACCTCTGATTTATAGCAAGTGAGCCCCACGGGGATTTAAAGCTCCTGCACTTGCTGGCGCTGGGCTCCCCTCTCTAAGCCCATCCCACCCCTTTAATGTTTGCAATCCCAGGGGAAGGAAAGGGAAACGTCCCTACAGCCCTCCCTCATCTCCTGGAAACCAGTTCCAACGTCTCAGAATCCTCCTCCCTGATAAGGACCTGCCCTTCTCACTTCTGGCACCTTCTCTCACTTCCCATGTTTCTAACCCCTACATAACTGGGTCCCCAGGAGACCCCACTGAAGGTCACCAAATTAGCAGCACTGCTTATTAAGACAGAAGCTTCTATCTCCATGCTCTTCTGATCTCTGCCCTATTTTTCTGGATATTTCTGTATGCAAGGCACTGTCCCAGTTGGCCCTTTACGTTCTGGTCCCTTGGCAGATGAAAAAAAAAAGTGAACAAGAGGTAAATTCAAGCTCTTGATGGCTGAGGAAGCGAGCAAAGAAAGGAAGCGAACAAAGAAGTGTATTGGGCCCTCTAGAAGTTGAGGTGAAAGATGAAGAGGTAAACTGATGTCAAGGCTAAACTGATTCTCTGACTCTTCTGGGATTCAACTCAAGCCCAGCGGGGATCCGTCTGCCTTGACTCCGTGTTTTCATTACAGAGCCGGGACTCTTTCCCTTCCACCTGGAGCATGTGACACTTAAAGCCAGCACCGAAATCACACATCTTGCAGAAAATAGGATTCCTCGAGTTTTGTTGGGCTTTGCCAATGAGAATACTCACAAAGCCTGTTGTGTTGTGAGAGCTACGCCCCCCCCCCCTCCCCGGCAGCTTTTAAATACACCTCAACAGGAGCAGCCTGTACTGGTCTTGAACTTTGGTGTTTCAAAAGCCCTTTTCTTGATCTCAGAAATCCTGGAATCCCTGGAAGTCACAGTGACCCCAGAAGGGAAAAGGTGGCCTGAGGAAGACCTCTAGCGCTATCTATCTTGAAGTCTCTGTAATTGGTTGGTCCTGTGGGACGGGGCTGTTAGCGTGTCCCATTAAAAAAATAAGGCAAGACATATGTTCCGTCAAAGCTTTGCAGCATCACATCCATTAACAGTAACAGGAGTTAATATCAACAAGGTCATAAATCTTCCCAGATAACTAAGTACTTCAATCTCCTCCTGTAAGTGCATTTCTTGAGTGGAGAGTCTGAGTGTGGAGACCCGTTTGGCTAAGGTGACTTCCATAGAATACGCCCTGCAAATTTCTGTCGTGGCAAGGATGGGACCACACGGCCGTGTAGGTGCTTGATGTTGGGATATTGCAACAGGACCTGTGCTCAGTGGAGGAAGCAATGAGACTGGGTTTACCTGATGCCATATCCCAAGTCCACACTGCCCTTCTGAAGAGCTTCCTTCTCACCGGATGCCATATCCCAAGTCCACACTGCCCTTCTGAAGAGCTTCCTTCTCAGTTAGGAGCCAGGAGCTTCCTTTGATCATCCCTCTGCCTCTCCTTCCTGACCCGTATAAGTGTCAGCCCTCTTCTCTTCCAGCCACACTCACCCTTCGGTGTTCTCATCGAGCCCCATGGCTCTTAATACCGTCTATACATGGATGATTCTCCAATGTGTATCCCCAGCCCCAGTCTCTCCTTTGAACCCCAGGTTCATACCCCCGACTACCCATAAGGTGTCTTAAATATAATATGACCACATCATCAAAACTGGAAACATTTGTGCTTCAGAGGACACCAGAGGAAGTGAAAAGACAACCCATAGGACAGGAGGGCAAATTGCAAGTTATATACCTGATGGAGACTTGCATCTATTAAGAAACTATTACAAATAGACAACCCAGTTTGAAATCGGGCAAAGGATCTGAATAGACATTCCTCCAAAGAAGATACACAAAAAGCCAATAAACACATGAAAAGATGCTCAACACCATCAGCCATGTGGGAAATGCAGATCAAAACTACAGTGAGCTATCACTTCACAGCCACTAGGATAGCTAAAAATCAAAGAGACAGATAATAAATGTTGACAAGGAAGTGGAGAAATTAGAACTCTCCTATAACTGCTGGTGGGAATGTAAAATGGTTCTTCAAACAGTTGAACATAAAGTTGCCATATGATCCAGCAATTGTACTCCTAGGTACACACACACGAGAAATGAAAACATATGTCCACACGCTAAGTGATACACAAACGTTCCTAGCAGCGTTATTCATAATAGGCCGAAGGTGGGACAGCCCAATGTCCATCAACTGATGAATGGATAAATAAAACGTGATATATTTGTATTATGGAATATTACTCAACAGTAAAGAGAAATGGAGTACCCATGCACACCACAACACAGATGAATCTGGAAAACATTATACTAAGTGGAAGAAGCCAGTCACAGAGGTCCACATATCTTATTCCTTATATAAGAAATATTCCTTCTCTAGGAAATGTCCAGAATCAGCACCCAGAACCTATAGGGAAAGAAAGTAGCGTAGTGGTTGTCTAGGGCTGAGGGGAAGGGGAAGGGAGGATGAGCTGGTGACGGCTAAAGAGCACAGGGTTTATTTCGAGGGCAATGAAAACGTTCTAAAGCCGGTTGCGGTGGTGGATGAAGAACTCACAGATTAATATACTAAAAGCCATTGAATTGTACACTTTAAATAGGTTCACTGTATGATGTGTACATTGTATCTCAATAAAGCTGTTTTAAAAACAAAAAACTGGGATCCCTGGGTGGCACAGCGGTTTGGTGCCTGCCTTTGGCCCAGGGCGCGATCCTGGAGACCCGGGATCGAATCCCACGTCGGGCTCCCGGTGCATGGAGCCTGCTTCTCCCTCTGCCTATGTCTCTGCCTCTCTCTCTCTCTCTCTCTGTGTGTGACTATCATAAATAAATAAAAAATAAAAAAATAAAAACAAAAAACTTCTTTAAGGTCATGAGAAAAAAATTATAATATGGCCAAATGAGGACTTGTGACTTTTCCCTCCTCCCAAACTCGCTTCCTGCTGCCTTCTAAGGAGACAGAAACTAGCCTTCACCAGGTGCTGCAACCAAATAACCTGGGGTCATCCTTGACTTGATTTCCCTATACCCCCACATTCACACCATTAAACCCTGTCAGTCTACCTCAAAGAAAAATCCCAAATCAACCACCTCGCACCACCCTCTCGCTAGTCCCACCTTGCTCGAGTCCACCACATTTCCTGGTCTCCCCACCAATTCCCCATTATTCCCTCTGCCTCCTCTCTTGCTGCTTGTAATTCACTCACCGCCCTCCCCGCCGCAGTCATAATCTGCTTTTTAAATCATGTGTCAAATCCCATTCCCTTGTGGGGTGGGGGAAACATACCCCCTGCACTTTCCCACCATGTTTTGAAAACAACCACACATCTTAGGAGGCCCCTGCCGACCTTCCCGGCTATCTCTGTGCCCACTACCCCCCCCCCAGCTTCATCCAGATCCACTTTCTTGCCATTCCTCAAACTTCCCAAGTTCATACCCTCCTCATGGCCTGCTCCCACTACCTGGAACCATACATCTTTGTGTGGTTCTCTTTTGACATCACTCACATCTCCAAACGACTGTCAACTTCTTGGGAGCCCCTGCATCAGGAAGGGGGCTTCTCCTCACTTCACTGGGGTCTCTCTCTCTCCCTCTCTGCCTCCTTCCCTGGCTTTATTCTTTAGAGTGCTTCTTATCTGAAAAAACGATTTAGTCATTGACTTATTTATACTGTCTCCCCAGTATAATGCGAGCTCCACAGGAGTAGGATGTTTGCCTTTCTTGTTCACCAACATATCTCCCCACCTAGAACCGTCCCTAGCACATTTTCAGAGCTCTATAAATGCTCATTGAATGACTCAGTGGAGAGCCTCCAGGAACCAGCGTGGAGACCGGATCATTTCTCATTGGCCATCACCAAGGCAACAGACTGCCTTCCCGCATGGGGGGCCCCCAGAGCTGCTCCATTGCTGACTCTTTCTGGGACAGCAGAGTCTACAGAAGGCAAGCAAGAAGGACTCCTCGTAGTTTCCAAACTAAATCCATAAACTAGAGACAGATCCAAAGCAGACAAACTTTGCATCTTGTTTACTGCCCTTCTGTCCCCCTCATCAAACTGCTCTCCTTTGTCCAAACGGCCTTTCAACTACCTTCACATTTATGGACACATAACAAGCTTCCTTGTAAAACTGGAGAAAATCAGATGATAATGCTA